TCACTGGACCGGGCGGAGCCGGGTATCCCAGCTAGTGTATTGATATAAACGAGCAGAGGTTTAACTGAGAGGTAAAGAAAGTGAATTTTGGCAGATCATCTTTTTTAGAGTTGTGGATAGAGTAGCAATAGACATTCCGTGGGGCCGCATGTAAAATGCAACCAAAATCAACTCAATGAGATAGATCCGCAGAGATGAAAGTAGAATATCAACAACTCAGCTTTTTTATTCGTGAGCTCTAACGTACTAAATCAAGAGATTTCCAATGAGTTTCTCAACAAAGCTGAGCTTCAAATGAACAAGGTAGTGCACTTTCAGCTAACAGAGACAGATGGGATCTCGGTGATATAGTTTTTCTCCTGCAGAAAGTAAATGCGAATTTTCGGGTTTAATAGTGCCTGTTTGAATTTTGCAGTTTTTACAGAAAGGTAAAAGCCTTTTTTTTTTGCCCATGCCAATAACGAAAGCAAAGAGTTTTTAAAGTTCTGCGAAATGTGTATCGAGAAGAACATTTTGCTCCGAAGAAATCGATTTTACCCAATCATACATACGAGAACTTCGCTCAAAAAATCAGCATAATAGAGACTGTTCTAAGAATTACTCCCAATACTGTATACCAGCAAGGATTTTTACATGAATAGAATCGAAGACATGATCTATGGAAATGAAATAGTTCCGGTAGATTATGGAAAAGCCAAAAAGAACTCATGCTATTCAAATTCACAACGAACCTGGTTGCTGTCAACGCTTTGCATGGATAATCGCTGGGACTCAAGCGATGATGTCTCTTCATTGTCCACGGAATCCTTTGATGATCGTGCTGATACGGAAGGTGCAGATGATGAGGTACCCGAAGGTGGTACGCCCTCCAAACCTACTCCAAGATCTAAAAAAGCACAAGTAGCATTTTTGCTCTGAGAGGAAATTGCGCACAGCTGTAGACATAGACTTACTCAGTGGTAGCAATGCTTGAGTAAGTTCGCGAATTCGCTTTATCCACATTATCTTGACTTCCTCCTTTGGTTGTGGAGCACTCCTCAAATCAATGCGATTTTCGTTGCTAGCAACCGTCCCGATCTAAGCAGACACAATACGCTATGCGATAAACAGATCAACTGCGAAAAAACTTACACGAAGACCGAAACGACACGCATCCCCTTCGACATGCTCCACCACGGATACATCCACCAACTGTAAGGTACAACATTTAATGCACTAAGAACTGAAGATGAATTTCGGTTAGTCTGTCTCTTAAATTTGTTGATTGTGCTGCACCCTAGATCCCAAATCAAAATTTTATCAACATGCACTACCAGCATGTGGATCCGCCATGCACAGAAGACGAACTACGACGTATCCGACTGCGGCTCGCGAA